GTGTAGGCATCACACACATGTGTAGGCATCACATACGCCGTGGCTTGGCCTGTGTGATCCGTGATCTGCTCGTGTATCCCTGCCCCCGCAGGCATCATGCTGGGCCGCATGGTGAGAGCGGGGCCCCCCTGGTCAGCTTCTGCCAGTGCCTCAATGAGTCCGTCATGAAGATCGTGGCAGTGGCTGTGTGGTAAGCCTCACTGGGATGGGGGTGTCCTCTCCTACCTCACCTCTTCCACTCCTGTCCTGGGCAGACAGAGGGACCCCATGGTCCCATCCTTTCTTCTCCTAGGAGTGAGCTGCCCAGGAGACTGAGCCCTGGCCTGGGTTCTCCAGAGTCACACGCGCTCCCCTGCTCCCCAGCCCTGACCAGGCCTAGTTCCAGCCCTGGGCCTGCCACTCTGGCCTGGTCAGGCCGCTGCAGGAGAGCCCAGCGCTGAGCCTGGCGTGCTCTCCTGGCCTAGTTTCCCCATCACATGGAGCTCATCAGCTCGGCTTTTGGAGGAAGGAAGCTCTGGAAGTGAGAACCAGCTGCCACTCCGTGGTTCAGAGCTCAGACCTTAGACATGGTTTAGATGGGGACGTGCAGAGGCCTGTCCCAGTGCCTGCACAGAGAGCGGCATTGCTGGGTTCACACATGGGCCCGCAGAGGGCAGGCGTACTCCTCAGAAGCCTGGGCAGGAAGGCAGGGTTGTGAGAGGTTGTGCAGGGCTGGGCTGGTTGAGGGTGGAGGTATCAATAATGCCATGTTCCTGGCACCTTGGCACTCAGTTACATTCACCCTTCACGGGCCCTGGCAGGCTCAGGGGATCAGGCAGTGATGCAGTGCCAGGGCTGCCTGGGACCCTCACCTGCCTGGCACTGAGCTGGCTGCCCCTGCCCCCAACCACAGGTACTTCCCCTTCGGCATTGTGTTCCTCATCGCCGGCAAGATCCTGGAGATGGGATGACCCCACAACCGTTGGGAAAAAGCTGGGCTTCTATGCAGTCACCGTAGTGTGCGGGCTGGTGGTCCATGGCCTCGTCATCCTGCCGCTGCTCTACTTCTTCATCACCAGAAAGAACCCCATCGTCTTCATCCGCGGTGTCCTTCAGGCCCTGCTCATCGCACTGGCCACCTCCTCCAGGTAGCCCTGGGCGCAGGCAGAACAGGGTGGTGCTCAACTCCGTCCACCTGTTCAGCCACCATTTGTCCATGGCCATAGACGCGTGGAGGTGTCAGTAAGGCCTGCTTCACACACTCGGGGGTAGCTATGGTAACAAGACCAATCTTTGAAATGTAATGCTTAAGGCCCCACCTGCCCAAATGGCAGGAAGCCTTTATCGCCTCTTGAGGCCTTCCCCTCCCCCACTCAATCCACATGGGGGTTGGCTTCCACACAGAGCAGCCCTTGGCCACCTGCCCGACAGGAACAACCTTGGGCCCGGCAAGAGGAAGTGGGGTCCCCAGTCAGTGACCTGTGGGATGGGAAGGGCTCTGCAACCACACCAACCCAGGTATTGGCCCCAGCACTGCTACCAGGAACTCTAGTAACAAAACAGTAACAGCACTAGTAGCTACCATTGCTTGAGTACTTGTGATGAGGCGGACACTACTCTAAGCGCTTACTCATTAAAGCACCCTAAGAGCTGAATCCAGGCGTTCTCCCGCCCTGGGACAAGGAAACCAAGGCACACACAGGTTAGGGATCCTGCTGCCCTGGCGAGGAGGAGGCTGGAAGCTGAACCCAGCAGGTCCAGCCCAGAGCCCCGCTGTTAGCCACTCCTACGCTTGGCACAGCAGTGTGACTTCGAGTCAGCCCCTCCGCCCTCTGGGCTTCAGTTTCTTCATCTGTAAAATGGACTCAAAACCCCTCCTTCGCCAGAAGCTATGAGGATCAAATGAGAGTGTGTGTAAAGCACGGAACCAGGCGCATAGTAGGTCCCTTCCTGACCTGTGTGTAGAGGGGTGTCTCTGAGGCCCAGGGCCTGGGTAGGCCTGGCTCGGCCACCGTCCCACACTCCCAAAGGGACCATTTTCAAGGCCCCGTCAGCCTGTTCTCCCTGCGATGGGCCGGCTGCCTGGGGTGGCACGAGCTTCCTGTCACTGGCAGGAGGGCAACCCAGAGGCCCTGACCATCCTGGAGGAGGATGGAGGGCAGACGCTGGCCCCTCTGCCCACAGCTCGGCCACACTGCCCATCACCTTCAAGTGCCTGCTGGAAAACAACCACATTGACCGGCGCATCGCCCGCTTCGTGCT